CTACTGTGTTGTCCAGACGAGGTGCAGGCCGCTCTCCTGAGCACTGCAGCTGGTGAGAGGCAGGGTCTCTCCTGACCTCAGGACCAGCTCCTCCACCTGCCACAGGCAGCCAGGAATGGGTCAGGGAAGGCACCTCTCCCTTGCCCCTGCTAAGGTATGACAGATGAGAGGCAGTGCCAGGTCTTTCACACTCATGAATTCTGGAAGACTCACTCACACCCCTGTAAACTGGGTCAGCTCTACTGGGCTGCCCAGGTGAGGTGCAGGACCCACTCAGTTGGTGGGGGTCTGGGTCAACTCTCCTGCCTCTCTCAGGAGATGAAGGACAAGGGGCAAGGGTGCATTTCATTTTGAATATGTTTATTTTTTCTTGCAATTCTGTTAGGTTTTGCTTCATGTTTAAATCTCTGTTATTGGGTACACATATGTTTACTGTTATTATATTCTCTTAGGATTAATTGACTCCTATACTATTATAAAATGACCTTCTTTAATCCCTGATGCTAAATTTTGCTTTGAAATCTACATGACATACTACAGCTACTCTGATTCCTTGTGATTCGGGTTAACACGGTGTATTGTACTGCATAGGGTTTTGTTCATTTGTTTGTTGTTTTTCTTCCTGACCTAGAGTCCTCTAAGAAGAGGAAACTCAATTGAGAGAATGCCCCCACCATACTGACCTGTTGGGTACATTTTCTTGACTAATGATTGATGTGGGAAGGCCCAGTCTATTGTGAGTGATGACAACCCTGGGCAGGTGACCTTGACTTGTAAAAGAGGCTGAGCAAGCCATGAGGAGCAAGCCTGTAAGAGCAGGCCTCCATGGCTTCTGCTTCCTTGAGTTCATTCCCCGACCTCCTTCTGTGATGGACGGTTACCTGAAGTGAAGCTAAATGCACCCTTCCAGAGCTCTCCAAGTTGCTTTTGCAATGAGATCTCTTACTAAGGCATGCGTGATTTTTCTTTTACTTTTGCTTCCTACACCTGTGTTTCTCCTAAGAAGCATAGAGTTGGATCTTATTATTTGATCCAATTTGCCAACTTCTTCCTTTGATTTCTGGTACTTGGACTATTTAGATTTTATGTGACTGTTGTGTTCAGGCTTGACTGTATCGCATTGTTGTTTTTTATTTTTCTCATTTGGCCTACTCACCCCCCCCCCCACCACACACACGTGTTTTCTGGTCGCTTGTGAATTAATTGAGCACTTTTATGACTGGACTTCATCCTTCTAATTAGCCTGTTAAACTGTACTATATTATTTTTAGCCATTACTTTAGGGTTTATATGTTTTTAAACCTATAACAGCCTAACTAATAGCACATTAGTTCACAAATAATCCAGGCTCATTGTAGCGATGTAATCTCATTGTCCACCCCTAGCCTTTACACTACAGTGTTGACAGAAGTTTCTGTCCTGCCCAGTCCCACAGCCATCTAGTCCCAAAGAATCACACAGAGGTCTACATTAATTATAAACTGGTTGGTCTAGTAGTTCAGGATTCCTATTAACTCTTTCTTACACCTTAAATTAGCTCATTATTCTTGTCTATCTATATTAGCCACGTGGCTTGGTACCTTTTATCAGTGAGGCATTCTCATCTTGCTTCCTCTGTGACGACTACAGACTGAGCCTTTCCTCTTCCCAGAATCCTCCTGTTCCGGTCACTCCACCTATACTACCTGCCTGGCTACTGGCTAATCAGTGTTTATTAAAATACAAGTAACAAATCTTTACAGGGTACAAGACCATTGTCCCACAGCAACTACTCATACCCATAAATAAATTTTACAAAGAAACTGAGCACTCTTGTTGCTTGTCTTTGCTGTGTGTGGACTGTCTTTGCTCCACTGTCTACTTTTGAGATGTCTCCTCTGGTGACATGGTTTTGAATGTCTTAATTTTGAGGAACCTCAGGGTATGTTACTTTTCCCATATCTTGTGTTTCGTGAGGTTCATTGGATTGATTGGGTCTTGGTTTATAGTTCTAAGTTTGCAAAACTTTTAGAATTGTTTCTTCAATTTTTTTTTAATTTTTTTTTTTTTTTTTTTTTTTTTTTTTTTTTTTTTTTTTTTTTTTTTTTTTTTTTTTTTTTTTGACCTAGTGGTTCTTTGGATTTCCTTAGTGTATGTTGTTATGTCCTGCTTTTTGTTTCTAATTTTGCTAATTTGGATACTCTTTTAGTTAGTTTGGATAAATATTTGTCTACCTTGTTGATTTTCTCAAAGAACCAACTCTTGTTTCGTTGATTCTTTGTGTTGTTTTCTTTGTTTCTATTATATTGATTTCAGCCCTCAATTTGATTATTTCCCGCCATCTATAAATCTCGGATAAGCCTGTTTATGTTTGTTCTACAGCTTAGGTGTGCTGGGATGTTACTAGCATGAGATAGCTCCAATTCCTTTATAAAGGCACTTAGTGATATGAACTTTGCTCTTAGCACTACTTTTGTTATGTTCCATAGGTTTGAGTATGTTGAATTCTAGGAAATCTTTAATTCCTTTCTTTATTTCTGCTTTTACCCAGTAGCCATTCAGTAGAGAGTTGTTCAGTTTTCATGAGCTCATTGCCTTTTTATTGTTTCTGTTATTGTTGAAATCCAGCTTTAATCCATGGTGGTTTGATAGCATGCAAGGGGGTTATTTCAATTTTATTGTATCAGTTGAGACTTGATTTGTGACTGAGTATGTGGTCAATTTTGGAGAATGTTCCACGAGGTGCTGAGAAGAAGGTATACTCTTCTGCATTTGTGTGAAATGTTCTGTAGTTATCTGTTAAGTCCATTTGTTCCATAACATCTGTTAGTTCCATTATTTCTCTGTTTAGTTTTTGTGTGGATGACATTGGGAAGAGTAGGGTATTGAAGTCTCCCACTATCTATCAATGTGTAAGGGTGATGTGTGATTTAAACCTCAGTAGTGTTCCCTTTACAACTGTGGGTGCCCTTGCATTTGTTGCATAGATGTTAAGAATTAAAGATCTTCTTGGCAGATTTTTCTTTTTATGAATATGAAGTATCCTTTCCTTTCTCTTTTGAATAATTTTAGTTTGAAGACTATTTGGTTAGACATTAGAATAGCTACACCAAATTGTTTCTTAGATCCATTTTCTTGGAAAATATTTTTCCATCCCTTTACTCTGAGGTACTGTCTATTTTTGATTTTAAGGTGTATTTTTTATATGCATTAGAAGGATGGATCCTGTTATCACGTCCATTCTGTTATTCTGTATCTTTTTATTGGGGAATTGAGTCAATTGATATTGAGAGATATCAATGACCAGTGACTGTGAATTACTGTTATTTTGTTATTGGTGGTGGTGGTAGTGTGTGTGTGTGTGTGTGTGTGTGTGTGTGTGTGTGTGCGTGTGTGTGCGTGTGTATGCTTCCTTTTGTTTGTTTTTTTTGTGTGTGATTATTTNTTTTTTTTTTTTTTTTTTTTTTTTTTTTTTTTTTTTTTTTTTTTTTTTTGCCTTTTCCCCTCTTTTTAAGGAATCTCAGCTTCTTGCACACTGGGCCACACAAGACTGCTCCTAGTGCATGAGCTCTCTTTTTATGCTTTGGACTTTTTGCTTATTTTGATTGTCCCTACGACTACACATTCAGGTCGCATGGTAATTTTCCTCTAAAATATTCAGTCTTCTCTTACAGCCCATGGTGTAGACCTCCCTGCCCCCAAGGTGTCATTGTTTTCGTCTCTCAGAGTTCACTCTGGGTCTCTCTAATTCGCGTATCTCCCGAGCTTTTGCCAATAACAGTAAATCTCTGGCATGTCTCACACCTGTGCCTGTTCAAGGTCTGCCTTGATTGATTAGTTATCCCCTGTATTATTGTCACGTTTGTCTGCCTCTTCTGCGTGCCCAGCTACCTTTGACCCGTTGCCAGGCATTACAAATTTTACCTTACTGGGACCAAATATTTCCTTATTCTTATAAATCTTGGGTACTTGGGAACAACGTGATCTTCTTGATGATTTGTTAGGCGGGTCTGGCATGGTTCTCAGTGCTCTACCTGACGTCCCATGAATTACAACCTTTTCCAGCAGAGCTGGAGGGAATCGGCATTTGTCTTGTCTTATGTGGGTGCTCTAGTATTTTCTGTGACACGTACATGTGTAGATTAATAGTCCTGGTATGTGAGGAAGTGTGTGTGCACATGTGTGTGCACTAAACATGCACACACAATTTGACAAATAAAAGCAGAAATACCTGCTGTGGAAATTTGGGTGGCAGAAGTAATAAAGAGGCTCCCAAATATTAGCTGTTTTGTCACAATTCCTGGAATTAAAGGTAGCTTTCTATTATTATTATTATTATTATTATGTTGTTGTTGTTGTTGTTGTTGTTGTTGTTTCTAAACTGTTTAAATGAAATGCATGGACTACTTTCATTCAGGAAAACAGTGCTGTTAAAATTGTATTTAAGAGCACATTTTAATCTCACATCCCAGGGTGTTGTTCTGGTTTGCCTTGAGGTTCAGAAAAGACAGACCTTCCCAAAGGCTTAAAGCCTGTTGGGTGAAAATGGAGTCGGGGTTGTTTAATGAAGTGGCTGAGATCATGATATCCAGTCACACTACTGAGGCCCCTCTCCTGAACTTCCTTCTCTGAGGCCACCGAACCTGTTCTGGCAACAGAGAGATTAGTGCCTCCTGCCTTGCTCCCACCAGCACGTGGTCCTGCCTTGATTGGGTTAGTCACACATTACCTCACTGTCAAAATGAGAACGGAAACAAACTTTGCTCACACCGAGGGACCCAGGGCCAAACTGTAGAAACCGAGTCAGGCAGGTGTGAGCTGAATGAAGCCGCCTCTGGATGCCAGCTGCTGCTTGTTCTACAGTTGGTCTTTCATTGGGGCTGGGGTGGGGGAGCAGCTACTGTACATATTCTTTTGAAAGGCGGAATAATTTGGAGATTGATACTGTTTTCCAAGTGAAGCCATTCTTTTCTGAAATTTATGAGAGAACAAACTGAACCCTCTTCACTTTCTTTTATTAGGCAAACAATTTACATTTTATTATGGAAATGAAGTTCACAAACAAGATTACTTCATTAAGTCGCCACCCCCTCAGCTTTTCTTCAAGGCAGTAAGTAATTGCTGTAGTTTAACCAGCCTCCCACCTGCCTCAGGAGCAGTTGAGAAAAGTCCCTGCTCATCTTCGAGGTTTAGCTACACAGCAGAACCTTCTCATTTTCAGACCTCCTGGAAAAGGCGGCTTTGCATCCTGTCCCAGAACGGGGAAAGGGGCCTGAGCCTCTCCTATTACAAAGACCATCAACACCGAGGCTCCATCGAAATCGATCTGTGAGTATCCAAACCGGGAAAACTGAACAGCAACAATGTGCCCAAGTCAAACGCTAAACAAGCTGCCCAGAAACTTGAACCTGAATCTCTAACAAAAAGAAGCCAGGGCTTCAGACCTGCCATAGGTTTTGTGTCTCTAAAAGAACCGACATAACAAACGGCGTGGGTAAAAGTGAAACAGCTGCTTCACACTGTGTCATAGGCAGTAAATCTCTAATTCCTGATCCTTCGATTGAGGACTTTGTCTCACTTAATTTTTTGATGAGAAAGAGCTCCTTAAATTCAATTTCATAGAGCCAAAGTGGACTTTAAGAAATATTTAGATAAACTATTCTTTGTCTTTTCTTCAGAAATCACATACCCGAAATATTGGAAAATATAGTGATTTGTGGACTCAGGAGTCCAACCCAAATGGAAACTTCTGAATCGAAATTCCAGCTGAGCAGAGCATTTTCAATTACTGATGAAGCAGATCCAGAGTTATTTTCTAAAACAGAAAGAATTCAAATGAGATTTATGATGTGAACTAGACAGTCTTTAAAATGTGGGTCAATGAAACCGTCAGCTTCATTCCTAATTTAAAATAGGGATCTGTTTCTATCTGAAGTTGCTCTCTGTATCGTCTGGTTCCTTTGTGTCTGTAGAAGCACCATCATAGAAGTTGGTATAAGTAGCCCGGAAAAGATGCAGTCTGTGCAGAAGATGTTCAAATGCCACCCGGATGAAGTGATGTCCATCAGAACTGCAAACAGGGACTACTTCCTCATTGGCCATGACAGGTGAGGGCCTGATGAGAGCGTGTCTGCTGAGTGTGAAATTAAAGCATTATAAATCATTATAAATCTATAGATGATGAACAGGCTGAGGAGGGAAACCAGGCTGCACGTGCAAAGCAGCAGTCTTCAGTGTTCTAAAATGGTTTTGTGTGTGTGTGCACATTTGAGTGTGTGTGCACATAAGTGTGGCTGCATATGTGAGTGTGTGCATACATGCCTATGCATGTGTGTGGCTGCACATGTGTGTATACATATATGAATGGCTGTAGATGTAAGTATGTGTGCACATGTATGTATATGACTGAACATCTGATGTGTGTGTACATGTGTTTGACTGCACATGTGATTGCATGTGTGCATATGTATGTGGCTGCACATCTGAGTATATGTGCACGTGTATGTGCATATGTGTGTGGGTGCACATGGGAATATGTGTGGACGTGTGAGTGTGTATGCATGTGTGGACTGCATGTGTGAGTGTGTGTTAATGTGTGTGTGCAATGTCTATGGCTGCACAACTGAGTGTGTGTACATGTGTGTGGTTACACGTGTGTGTGCATATGTGTGGTTGCACATGAGAGTATGTGTGTACATGTATGTGGTTACACATGTAAGTGTGTGTATGTACCAGTGTGCATATTGTGTGTGGCTGCATATTTGAGTGTGTCCACATGTGTGTGGTTGCATATTTGAATGTATACATGTATGTGCATGTGTGTGTCTGTACATGTGAGGGTGTATACATGTGTTGATTGCACATGTGAGAGTGTGTGCACATGTGTAGTTATGCATGTTAGTGTGTGTATATGTGTGCATATGTCCATGGCTGCACATCTGAGTGTGTGCACATGTGTATGGTTACATATTTGAGTGTTTACACGTGTGTGTGTGCACATGTGAGTGTGTGTGCGTGTGTGTGTGGACATGGAGGCCAGAGGACAACCTTGCCCATCACTCCTCGGGAGCTGTCTATTTTGGTTTTTGGCACAGAGCCCCTCAATGGATTGAGTTAGGCTAGGCTGACTCGCCAGAAAGCTGCCGGGATCCGCCTGTCTCTGCTCCGCAGCTGGTGTTGCAGACACTCCACTGTGCCTGGCTTTTCTGTAGGGATTAAATTCATATCCTCATGGTTGCGTGGCAAGTGCTAACTAAGCTTCCTGCTTGACTTTTAAAGTAGTTTTCAGAATCATTCTGCTAGCTGCCTACGCGTGTTATAACTGTGTTATAAACAACAGAGGTTTCTAACCTCACTGTTCCGAAGGCTGGGAGTCAGAATGAGGAGCAGACATGGCCTCTCCCGTGAAGCACTGTGGAAGGAAGGCTCTTTTCATCCCTCTCTCACGGAACTGCTGCTGGTCCCTTGGCTACAACAGCCAAACCCTAGCTTTTACATGGCATTCCCCATATGCACACATCTCTGGGTCAAACTTCTCCTTTTTTCCCCGCAGTTAGCAGTCTCACTAGTGTAGGAGGTATCTCTACAGTATGACCTCAACCTAACCAACTATTTCTGCAAGTGGTCCCTTTCTGCGTAAGGTAACAGCTGAGGGCTGGGAGCCGGAAAGACTTCGTACATGAGGAGAGGGTCACAAGGCAAGCCACGACAGTCGCTATCGCGCAGATGCCTTCTGTGAAAACCATGAACTACAGAGAGGGACTGCTCACCCTCAAGGCATCTGCGGCTTTTAAGAGCAGCTCCTATGGAATCTCACGCCCGCTTATCTATCGGAGAGAGGTTACAGCGTGGGAGGAGGCAAGGCTGAAGTCGAGCGTGAAGCCTTCGCGTGTTTCCAGTTGACCCAAAGCTGCAGTTTTCTTTTGAATTGCCACCCAAGACAGCAGAAAAGAAGATGGGGGATGTGTCAATTTGTGCAGACGCACTTGCCTTGTTCACTTTTCTGTCTGCTGTGATGAAACACTGACTCCTGGGGACAGGGTTTGCTTAGCTTACATGTCCTGATTACAGACCATCATTGAGGGAGGTCAGAGGAGGAACTTAAGGCAGGAACCTGGAGGAGGAACCGATGCAGAGGCCCGGGAGTGTGGTGTACTGCTCACTGACTTGCTCGCTATGGCTTGCTTAGCCTACTTTCTTAGAGCACCTAGGCCCATCTGCCCAGGGGCGGCACAGCCCACAGTAGACCAGGCCCCACTACAATGATATTTAATCAAGAGAATACCCCCACAGACCTGCCTACAAGTCAATCTGATAGAGGAATTTCTTCAGTTGAGTTTTCCTCTTTCTAGATGACCTGTATTTATGTCAAGTAGACAAAGAATGAACCAATACAACACTCTTCCTAAAAATGCATTTCCTGGGGGGGGCGGGGAACTGGGGCTGACAGGCAGAACACCTGGGAAAGCAGAAGCCCTGTGCCCCATGTTCCTGCTGCTGTTTCTGAGTTTCCATACTGGAGGAGTCGTGAGGGTTAATTCAACTGTGCAGATGCAGAGACAGCGAGGGAACAGTGGGCCAGGCTACTGCCTGGGGAAAGAGTCCTGTTCTATAGGCAGCTGATCCCAAAGCTGCTCCGGATGCAAAGAATCTGCTGGGTCCAGAACGAGTGTGGGAAAGGTTGCTACCAATGTCACCTGAAACTCTCTTCCTGCCCTCAGGGAGACGATCAAAGACTGGGTCTCCTTCATGTCACCATATTGCCGGGGTGCGCACGCAGCTCATCAGAATACAGAGGTAACTTGACATCACTAATGATGGCGTTCAGGGCAGCTGAGCACTGCCTTCTTTCCTTAGAAACAACAGCGGCCCTTTCCTTCCCCTTAGCAACTGGTGCTAATACAAAGAATAAATGAGCGAGGACACGCATGCCCTTGCTACTTTCACAATTAACAAAAGGAAAAATACTTTCGTGTTTTGTAAGAGAGCTAAATTATATTGTCATTGTTGCAGCAGGAGGAGTGAGAGTTAATGGTGGCAATTTTCATAGCAGCGTGAAGTATACTATTTTCCACCATTGTGATTTTAGGTACATAGCCAGCTTCCCTTTGAATGGCTAAGTCTAGGGAGGCGTCTCAAACATTGTTTCCATCTGCCCGCATTTTAATATAATGTCTCTTGTGTCAGGTAAGCAGCTGAAGGTTTTAATTGGCTTCATAAGGAGCTTTGTAAATTTCTTAGAGCCTGTCACAGAAGGATCTTGGGTGTAGCTACATCTACGGGTATATTTTCCATGTTGTTCCATGCTGACAGCATACGCCCCAGAGAAGGAGAGATCAAGGCATGTCTCCCAGTAGATTCGATGATGAGAGAAGAAACGACAGGGCGCGAAGGGAGACACGATGGGGAGGAGAGGCTTGGGGGGCACTCAGGGCACCTGTTAAAGTTAGGCTGGGTGTCCTTGGGGACTTGGGAGCAGGAGAAAGTGTCATTGATAAGGTTGATCCTTGTCTTTGTATGATGACACTGGCCACTGGGCAGTGCTGATGTCAAAGCCCTGGGGACCCTGGAGAAGGGACGCCCAGGTGGTAGTGGAGGGGATGGCAGTAACAGGAGGGCGATTGCACTCTAACTGTGAAATGACTTTTGTCTAAGCAGGAGAAGCCTTCTCTGGGTGACAGAAGACCAGTTTCCGACCCCAGTCCTTTCTTTGGCCTCTACAGTGCTCCGGAGAATGTCAGCCTTGCATTGCCGAGGGCCAGTCTTCCAGACATGGTAATCCACACCTCCTCCTACTGTGTCAGGACGCTGCAGCCGGAGCGGCCATTGCTGAATAGAACCACTGGCTAGCAGCAGGCACTGACCTCGCCCATCTTCCTGGAGGAGATAGCTGAGGAGACAGGTCCCTCAGAGCAGTGTTTGCTATGTAAACACGAGGACTGGCTTTGACTCCCCAGAACTAGTGTGGCGGCACACATCTTAACTCTAGTACCGGGAAGGAAGGGACAGGTGCATTCTTGGGGTTCTCTGGCCTGTCAGCTTAGCCGGCTTGGTGAGTTCCAGGCCAGTGGGGAAAAACAAACAAACAAAACGCATACACACACACACACACACACACACAATGATTTCTGATCTTAATATTTATGCATATTTGCTCATTTCCCATTCTATAGGTAGGCTTTAACGCTTGCCTAGCTGACTCTAAAGATTTTAGTTCCGCTTTGAAAATCTTGACAGATGGCAGGTCCTTCCCTAAGTGTGGCCAGCAACCTCCCCTCCTTCCACACACAGGGCACAAAGTCCCCCAAGTACCCTATGATCTCCTATTGTGCTGCCCGTACCGTCAGGCAAGGTGGAGTTCCCTTGGCTCACCCCATTGATCCTTGTCTTTGTGTTATGACACTGGCCACTGGGCAGTGCAGACGTCAAAGCCCTGGGGACCCTGGAGAAGGGACGCCCAGGTGGTAGTGGAGGGGATGACAGTCACAGGAGGGCAATTGCACTCTAACTGTGAAACGACTTTTGGCTTTCATTTTGGAAGTCGGTCTGGCTTCTCATTCTGGGTGTCAGATCCTCTTCACTCGAACGCAATCTGTTTGAGGAAGTAGATAGCAATTCCTGCCCCCTGAAGGTCACAGAATTGTGCCCTCATGTCTCTGGGTTTGTTGTGTGTCTAGATTTGGCTATTCTCAGTAAACAGGCTGGGCAGTTTATTTCCCTGAAATCTGTTATTTCATCCCTTAGAGACACCCCACTGGCTCCTTTTCCTCTGTGGGTACCAAGCACAGGCAAGGCTTCTCATTTTATCTAGCTGGCAGCTCTCCAACATTCTAAAAGCTTTTCCGGCATATCAACACCACCAGGCCAAACGCCTCATCTCAGCCATGAGGAAAACCAGTGGCCTGAAACAAGGCAGTCAGACTGACCTTGAAAAAAACTCCCACTCAGAGGAACCCTTCCCCACAGAGGAGCCTTGTTGGCAGCTTTTACCTTTTCCCATTATTTATTCAGATCAAGTAATACTGTTTTTTCAACCATCTCAAGTGAAAGACAACCACGTGTCTTGCTGGGATTTCTTATTGATGTTGTTGGTCCATCAGGAACCCTTCTCTCCCAACTCAGCCTAATCCCGCTGCCGAGTGCATCTTCAGCATCCATAACAGAACACTGCGGTACTCTAGGAGTTTCCAAACAGCAATAACAATTGGTTTCCCCAGCTCTGACAGTTGTGAGGTTCAGGATCAAGAGAGGGATCTCATCTGGTAGGGGCCTTCCTGCTGGCTCATCAGGTGAACGGCAGACAGGCGAGCAAGGCAGAGGACAACCAGGGTGAACCAGCCTTCCTCGTCTCAGACATGGCATTCAGGAACATGCTATCATGACCTGACTATCCCTAAAGGTCTACCATTACTGCTCTAAAAATGACATTTCAATTGCAATGTGTTTCCGAGGGGAACATTCGTATCACAGCAGAGAGCTTTGAGATAGAGAAATGGATATGACTTAAGTATGTAGAGATGCTTGTGGGCTTCTCAGTGGGGCCAGTCCTGATAAACTCATAATAAATGGAAAGCAGCATGAGGTGAAAGTGCATTTACCACACCTGACTTTCTGAACATCACAGCTCAGCAACAAACATGCAGTGCAGGGTCTGCTGTTCCCCCTGTGACTGCAGGGCTGTCGAGGAGCTGTGGCTACTGCTGCCACCAGACTTACAAAATAGTGATCTTACCCTTATTGGTGGCCCACACAAAGACTATAGTTCAAAATCTGCAATACAGTTCCCACTGAATGTGTCTTGCATTTGTATTCTTTCTATGAGAGAAAAAAATCTGGAAGTTGAACCATCCTGAATCATGGTATCCTATCTATCTATCTATCTATCTATCTATCTATCTATCTATCTATCTATCTATCTATCTATCTATCTACCTAACACACACACACACACACACACACACACACACTTACCTTCCATGGGATTCCTAACAAACATTCGGGGCTTATGCAAGGCCTCGCCACCCAGTCTTATTCCTGGAGTAACCAGATTGCACTCATAACAATCCTTAGGCTACTCAGAGCAGCTGCCTTCGTGGAGTATCTGGTGTCTGTTAGGGGAGGGAAGGCAATAATTAGTTGCTCGTATCTACCTCACCTGGAAACCTATAATTCACACTGTCACGGAGCCAACACTACCTAACTGCACTGCCATGGAAACAGAGGAGGCACAACACAGAAGAGGAACCCTGGAGGTCCAGTGACTCGGGGCTGTTTGCCTCCTCAGGAGCTGCTGAGATGACAGGAATGAGATGGGGTGGAGGCACCATGACAAAGCTCTATGCCTTACCACGCCTCTCACAGCAGAAAACTTCTTGTTCTGAGTTGTAACTTCCTCCACAGTTGAGAAAAATTCCAGACATGAGCTATGCTTAAACATTCACACCATTAGAGGTGACCCAGATTGAGGAGGCAAGTCCAGTGTGTGGGCTTCCGCGTGTCGTAATGAAAGAGACTGCAACCTTGTCAACACAACTCATCTGCTTAAGCTTTTCTAGAAAGGATTGGTTTAATTTTGTTGGAAGAAAGGAGGGAAGGAGGGAAGGAAGGAAGAAATGAAGGAAGGAAGGAACTCATTAATTCCTTTTGCATCTTTCTTTTTCAGCATTTAATACAAAATAGTCTCCAAGAACTCAGGCAAGATCATAATTATCATTATGAAGACCATTTATACTCAGAACCCCCTCAAGACACAGAAGAAGAGAATTACTATCAGACTCCCCGAAGCATCCTTTCAGAAGTGAGTGCCCCCACCCACTCATCATTCACCCCCACCCACCCATCATTCATCTCTTCACCACGTCTGCTGAGCCTCTGCCACACACTGCTGCTGGGACAATAGGCTGAGACCAGGAAGGCACAGAGGTGAAGCTGGCAGAGACCAATGGCTTGCTTATAATGCTGGCATCAGCCTAGGAGCAAGACACATACCTATAGGATGCCTGGGTCATACAAGGGGTGGGAAGAGGAAGGTGGTTTCCAGTTTAAAGACCAGAGAAAGTTCTACAGAGGAGGTGACATTTGCGAACTCAGTAGATAATGTTTGGAATTTAGTAGTCTTTCTGTTTCCTGGACTGAAAGGAAAAGGGTAACAGTCACTGGGTAATCAGCTGTGAGTGTGTGTGGAACAGCCTATTAATAACCGGACGCCCTTCGGGGTGCTAGACACTTCACTGTGCCCAGCATGGTGGCTCCAGTGACGAGTGGGCTTCATGGTCTCCACAATTCAGAGCCCACAGTCTCCATCACCAAAGATAATGCCACACAAAGAGGCATGCAGTGGTCTAGGGTCATCAGACATAGAGCAGATTTTTCTCTTTCCACTTGAGTCAAAGCAGGCTTCAGGGACCCCTGGCATCTGCCATGTCTGATGAATTGCTCAGGTAGACAACACTGCAGACTGTGTGAAGGAATGGCAGAGTAGAGAATTAACAGGACAAAAGAGAACCAACCAGCCCATGACAGGAGAACCAGCCAGCCTGTGACAGGAGAACCAGCCAGCCCATGACAGGAGAACCAGCCAGCCTGTGACAGGAGAACCAGCCAACCCATGACAGGAGAACCAGCCAGCCTGTGACAGGAGAACCAACCAGCCCATGACGGGAGAACCAGCCAGCCTGTGACAGGAGAACCAGCCAGCCCATGACAGGAGAACCAGCCAGCCTGTGACAGGAGAACCAGCCATCCCCTGACGGGAGAACCAGCCAACCCCTGACGGGAGAACCAGCCATCCCGTGATGGGAGAACCAGCCAGCCCATGACGGGTACTGGATTTCAAGCCGACTTCACTCTGTGAGAAGCATAGGGACAAAGAAAGCTTCTAAGCAAGGAAGTGACAAAACATGGATTGACTTCCTGGAACATTGGCCAAGGAGTTATATGTGCGTAAGCCACAGATAGAAAAGGTGGAATGAGGTGGTAGACAAAATTAGGGGAGCAGAGTGGCATCATCTCCAAAACTGGGGGGTTTCTATCAGATGACGACATTATAACTTGAAGATGCATGCTGAGGTCAAGTTGGTTATAGAAATGCTAAGTCACAAGTGGTTTGAACAAGCTGTCCATCACAGTGAAGTTCTCAGAGCCCCTGGTACATAGTTCTGCATTGTAAGCAGCCAAGTGCATAGCACAAGGCATGGCCATGGTTTCTTAAGCATAGAACACTTTCTTTCACCAAGAATACTTCTGCATTAGTATTCTCTAGGGCAACCAACCAATCAGGTGTGTAGAAAGGAAGGCTGTAGACCCCTGTGAGATATGGTATCTGGGGAAGGAGATGAAACTGTACAACAGCTGTCAGGCAGGCTGAGGTGATTCAGGAATGTGGGGAAACAACAGGACTTCACCGGGCAGGAGAAGAAAAAGGCATGCCTGGCGAAGAAGACCACATGAGCGTGAGGTCTGGAAGAGAGCCTTTGGTGAGGAGACAGATGCACGGATGACTGGCTTGACGGGAAGGCGATGCTCCACTTAGAAGTCAGTGGTAAACTAGAGGGGAAGAATCCGTGGATATGAAGAGAAGTCAGTGGATATGAACTAGAGGGGAAGTATCCGTGGATATGAAGAGAAGTCAGTGGATATGAACTAGAGGGGAAGTATCCGTGGATATGAAGCAACAGTTGCATCCAGTCTTTGGCCCAATCAGCTTCCGAGGTTCCATGATAGAATTAATCCCCTGGAGGAAAGGCTCATGCAGTGAATGACTAGGAATGGGCAGACAGGAAAATCCAAAGCTTCTCATAGAATGCATGTGTCTGGAATGGGCCCCAAGGGCTCCCAGGAAGGGAAAACAGGCTTTGAATCTGCCAGAAACTGTGGCTCCATCTCCCGTGGTTAAGGCCAGGTGATATTCTCTGAAGAGCGGCTGTCCTTGCGATGAAGCTGTGTGATTCCATTGCACTGCAGTGGGAGGTGAGGAGGGGCCTGGCCAGTGGCAGACATGTATCCTTTATCTTCTCTTCATGCCTTTAGTTGAAGAATATTGCTGACTCCAGCGATTCCGATGACTCCATTGAATCCAGTAGTCCAGACCAAGTTTTCAAGAAATCTGAGAGCAATTACATGTCAATGAGATCCTGGTGAGTGTAAATGCCTTCTAAGTACTGCTATTAGCTAACCTATTTTTAATAGAGCAATTACCACCAATTCAGCATGTTAACCTTTGTGTGAGGACATATGCACATACAAACATTTATATGTATATATAGGGATAATGTGTGTATGTGTGGTTGACATGAGCCATGAGGCACATGTAGAGGTCAGAGGGCAACCTTGGGTGTTGGTCCTCATCTTCCTCTTTGAGTCATTCTCTTGTTGTTTGCCACTGCACATACCACATGAACTGGCCTGTGAACTTCCTAGGATTCCCCACATCCCATTTTGCCACAGAAGCACTGGGATTGGAGAAACGCTACCACGCCTGGCCTTCCATGGGCCCTGGAGAGCCAACCTGCGGCCCTACTGTTTACAAAACGAGCACTTTACCCACCGAGCCGTCTCTCTAGCCCCCAGTTCATTTTTGAACTGTTGAGAAATTGCTTCAAAGCATCACAAAGACTCCGCTCTGCACATTGATTGATTCAGGTCGATGTCCTTAATCTGAAATGCTTAGGATTACAAATGTTTCTGGTTTCAGAATTATTTCTTTTTTCAGATTTTGGAATATCTGCATATCCATAATGAGCTCTCTTGTGGAACAGAAGTCATCTAAACATAAAATACATGCACGATTCATATTTCCAAATGTACCTTCTATACATAACCTGATGATAACCTTAGGCAAAGTGTTTGAAATTGACTTTGTTCATGAAAGACAGTGTGATGGTGTGGACTTACTCCACACGCTGCATCCGTATTGTCAGTTAGCATTTCAGGTTTCAGATGCTCAAGGGACGGGCGTTCAACCTGTGGACTTAAGAGAAAGGAATGTGGCGATGGTTTCTTGACCCACAGAAAGCCACCTGTGACATCAGGACACTTCTGTCTTCAGAAGTCTTCTGGGTTTTTTTGGCTTTTATGTCTCTCAAACTCTCACCCTGTTCTCCCAACCCTGTAAAATGTTATTTCGATTCCAAGTCCATTTTTAGAAAGAAGGCTTGTTCAGTTTGACTCGGCCTCTGGTGGGATTCTGATGGCTGAACGTGTTCCAAGGCTTTGTTGGTCTTCTTACAGCTGTTAGATGACAGGTAGAGTGGGAAGCTGTCACCGTGTGCTTAAACAGACCCTTGTTCAACTTCTTATACTCCAGCTTCTTCAAACAACCAACCCCTGCATCTGCTGATGGCCAAGCTGAAACCCAGAGCTCTCCGGAGACTCCGGAGCAGGCAACTTCTCTGCAAGAACTCGGCACAGGGAGTTATCTGTATCTTTCACTTGCTGACCTGGAAGCACAGACCGCAGAAGACAAAACGGGGTCCGCCTCCCTAACTGTTGTGAAATTGTCTATATTACTCAAGTAAAGCCCTGATTTCTAAAACTTTGTGGGCCCTAAGAACAAGACAGATGCCTTAAATGCACTCAATATTACAAATTTCAAAGTAGTTTCTGAAAATTCCCAAGTCAGACAAGCATGGCAGGCTTCCTCTGTGTGTCATTGAGGCTGTGACCCTTCTCTGTGTCACTGGTGTTGTGACCATAGACAGTAAATGATAGAGTTGGAAGAAGAGTGGTCCCCCAGGATGGGGGTGGCCCTCCCAACGGTTTCAACGCTTTTCCCTTGGCCAGTTTTTCCGGCCCTAAAACCTGGACCATGCTGATCCAGCATCAGCGTGCATCACCAGCCTCCCACACTAGCGGCATGTGGGCAGGCAAGCCTCCTGAGGTGCTGAGCAGATGAGAAGGGGAGAGTTTAGGTCCTAGGTGACGTCAAGGGCACCTGACAAGATAGTTGCGATTTTTAGCTGCTTTCCATGCCCTCTTGTATGAAATAATTTCCAGAAAACAAACATGTAAATTGACCGGATGGAGATGGTTATAAGCCCACTTGGTCCAGTTTTGCCTCCTTCTGCTGTCTGCCAACCACTACCACATGCCAGAGGGGCAGGGAGGATTAATGAATGTCTTTCCATACCTTAAATTCCTATTTCTTTCTTGGTATGTTTTGGGCAAGCTTTAACAGGAAAATGTCATCTCAGAAGCAGAAGGCCAAAAATACACTCTAAAAGGATAGCTCAGAGCGAGGTTCCATCGGCTGTTTGACGCGTCTTACACAAATGTTTTCTGTCCCAGCAATGTCCCCGATGAGAGCCAAGTGGAGACTCTGAATGTGTTCCTCACTCCTCAAGATGCCATCGACTATCTTGCTCTTGTAGAAGCGGCAGGACGGATATGGTAGGTGGAGCTTTGAACAGACATCAGAGATGAAACGGCACCCTCGTTCTGAACACTGCATCTGACAAAACCAACGGAGCACTAGGGCTGGTGTTGCCAGAGAGAGGGCTCGCCAGCAGAAAGACTATTGTTATATAGGAGGTCAACTTTTGAGGGGGTCTAAGAGAACCAAAAAGCCCAGGACTCAGGATGTTTCTGATCCTTCAAAGGAGAATGGATGGCAAGAGGCTGTTCCAGGCACCATGGAGTGAATATTTAAAGAAGGAAAGAAGAGAATGAGGTTATAAGATCGAAAAGGAAAAGATATATATGTGGGCCTAAGAGTCCCACACCCCATTCAAACTTCTATTCCAAAACACAAGCACAAAATTCTGTGTGGCAAATATTTTTTGTTTTGCTTTTTGAGACAGGGTTTCTTTGTAGCTTGGGGGCTTGTCCTGGAACTCACTCTGTAGATCAGGCTGGCCTCGAACTCACAGAAATCCTCCTGTCTCTGCCTCCCATAATTACTATTTATCTAATTCTACATCCTCTTAGACTGTGACTGGACATGTGGGCACAGGCCAGTAATCTTAGTTCCCTGGAATAGACCTCAAGGCCAACCTGAGCTTCGTAGTAGATTTAAGGCCAGCTTTAGCTACATAATGAGATGCTCTCCCCTCCCCCATCTTAAAATAAATAAGCCAAATTGTTTAATTCATTTTGGTGGAAGACTGAATTTTTACAAGGTAATTCTTTAATATAAATAAGATCCCATACTGCCACAACTTTTCATTTTTACAAAATCTTTGTAATTTAAGACTCGTAAACGCCTGCTCAGCCTATGGACTCATCTGTGCCCAAGCTTACATGTCCGTTCATTCATCCACTTATTAAATATTCACTGCAGCTCTGTGTGCTCAGTTCTGGCAGGTGTTTGTTGAGCATCCTGTTTTCTTAGAACTGCAGTTATCAATTTTTAAACACCAGCTAAGGAAACAGAAAGGGAGTTCTGTACTCCCAGGTCATAAAGCCAGATGAAAAGGAGAGGCCCGTGAGTCAATAAATATAAAAAGTACATCTTACTCAGAACTACAGTTAAAGTATTCCCACCGTGCATAATTATAAGTCCTGGGACAGGATAGATTAACTACAAGCAAAACAAGGGACTGGACTTGGCAGGGCCTTGCGAGGGTGATTAGCTTGGAGCAAAGCTTCTGAGGGAAGGGAGGCAGGGAGGAAGTTAGTCCAGACAGAAGGAGAGAGTTGGCTTCCAATATGGGGCAACTCGGCACAGAGTGAGGTAATCCCACAGGCCCCATTCCTGCCCCCACAAGGAGCCAATGAACTCTGCCTCACTTTTTTGTTGGATGCTGTGTTCCCACTGCAGTGTGGCTCAGTGGGAAGGCCCTCCCCGACTAGGGTGCATATTCTGCCATGGAGACCATATCTTGGCTGTCAATGACCTGAAGCCCCAGAACCTGGAGGAAGTTTCCCTGTTTCTTACCCGCTGTAACCAGAAGGAGGTGAGTCCTATGAACCAGACCAGGCCAGATCAAGTTAGGGCTGGGAAGAAGAGGATCCAGCTCTGGGAGGAAGTCTGGGAATGACTCAGAACATGAATGAAATTTTGTCTTTTGTTTCAAGTGCTACTGGGGAAAGCACTGGGCTAGGAGAGAGGGCTCGGGGCTTTTGATCTCAGGCACTGTGGGGAGCAGAAACAGCACCATGACTCAGACTAACTAGCGGACTGTAGATAGCCCCTTTAAGCAGTCTGTGTCTTGCCTTTTTGTAAAATGAGGGACAGTGATTGTAGCAGTTGTTGAAGAACAAAATGATATAGCATGCTAACATGTTCGCAATGTCCCAGACACAATTACTATGGCTTTGCCTCTACCTGCAGGGCCATGTGACATGGAGTGGCTCACTTTCCTGAATGTCAATGTTCTCATCTAATAACTCTCTGCATGGAGTTATTATTAAAAACCAAGATCATGTTACACGCATGGTAGTATAGTTTTCATATTGTTCATTCCTTCTAAGCCACATTGATTTCTAGCCCCGTGACCTAGGGAAGGCCGCACTGCCTTCTCTGTGTTTAGCTTCTTTGCTCTAAAGCAAGGAGCAGAGCAAGGACTCATCCCTCCCTATGGTTTCCAAACTGTGCTTCTTGGATCTTTGGACTGTGACTAGGGAGAAAGGAGAGGAAGGGCTCAACATGTGCTGCTTCTGTTAGGGACATTCACATTTGTCTTCTATTAAATAGATACATCTAAAATACTGGACCACACCTTTAACAGATAGATACATTTAAAACACCAGACAGTGCAGTTAACAGACAGATAGATACATCTAAAACACTGGATCACACAGTTAACAGATAGATGCATCTAAAACACTGGGCCATGCAGTTAACATACTTAGGAAGCATAGAACCTTGACTTGAAATGTCTGTAAGCAGCAACAGTAATGATCTATCTTCCGGCTCTGGGAGTCTGTGGTTGTGTGTCATGCGTATTAAGGGCTCAGCTTGTTTCTTCTCCATCATTCCATAAGCCTGACAGTGGGAGAAATTCTTATTGTATTATCTAAAAGGGTAAGGCCAGTCAGGCATGCGACGAAGGTAGACACAAAACTAGTCAGTGGCAGTGCCAGGGTTCATCATTCATCTGCTCCCTCGCTATTATTGAACATCTCCCTACTCTCTACTGGCTACTGTTGTGTTCTAAGGCTACAAAGGTGGTCTCGGCTTACACATAAGTAGCTCACAGATTAGCGGGTAAAGCAAGTATCGTCAGCAGTCTCCGAATACAGTGTGTGCTCTGGGATGTGAGCCGAAAGTGTTGGGGGAGACTAGATGGGTCTTCTGAGGATACCCTCACAGCAGGCAGGGTTTGGCTTGAGTTCAATCCTTGATAGGAGTTTGCAAGGTAGATAAGAGGTTGGTTTGAGGGATCTAGCCCGATAGTCTGGCAACTTATAATTCATGGCTTCTGCCAAAGGTCCACCCTACAGCCAAAGGGTGAAGAAAACCATGTGCAACTTCTGGAAGTTACTATTATTTTGGCCCAAAGATCCATACATGTGCTCAGCAATCAAGAAAAGTGTTGTATTAGGCTGCTTGTTCATACCAGCCACCCAGAATTGAAATAATCACACAGATTATTATTTAAAACACTGTTTGGCCCATTAGCTCTAGCTTCTTATTAGCTAACTCTTACATCTTAGTTTAACTCATTTTTATTAATCTGTGTATTGTCACATGGCTTACCTGCTAAAATTCCTTCCGGCTCCAGCAGGACTACATGGCTTCTCTCTGACTCTGCCTCCTTTCTCCCAGCATTCTGTTTAGTTTTCCCCACCTAGCTCTGTTCCCCTATAGCTCTACTATAGGTCCAAAGCAGTTCCTTTATTTATCAGTGGTATCACAGCATACAGAAGGGAATCCCACATCAGAATAGGGGTTGTGAACAGATACACATCTAAATCTCCACCTGGCCGTTCACATATGCACCATCATGACTGCCATTGTAGACCGCACCTCTCCTGTGCTCTTGCTGTCTTCTGCATGCTTCTGAGAACAACTCCCAAATAATACTGACCACTATCAACCCCCACCAATGTAGGTCTCAATCCCATCAAACCTTTTCACAGATAACCTATGTAATAGATATGTATATTACCATTCATAACAGTAGCTAAATTACAGTTATGAAGTAGCAATTAAAATAATGTTATGGTTGGGGTCACCACACATGAGGAACTGACTGTATTAGAGGGCTGCATTAGGAAGGTTGAGAACCACAGATCTAGAGGAGTAGAAAACTCTCCTCCCCACCACTCCTGACTTCTTTCTTTTACAAGAAAACAGATGGCCAGTCCTCTTTTAAAATGCAAACACTTGTTCCTGGAAAAGGGCATGTGAGAGCAAGGGCATCTCCTGGGTCTCCTGTCTGAGCCAATGGCATCCACTTTATCCACAGTGCAGAGAAGGGGGAGGCTGGCAGAGGGAGGGGCTAGAGACAGCAAGAGGAAAGTGAGACAGCTTTTCAGAGGCAAAGGAGATGGTGTGTGTGTTTAGAGGGATAAGAAATGAGGAGCTGCAAGAGAAACGTTCAATTTCAGTTTCCTTCTGCTTTTGGCTGGTGGTCTCCTTTGGATACACAGGGTTCTACAGGCCTTTTGAGCTACTGATCCTCTGTGGCTGTCTTAGTAAGATTTCTACTGCTGTGATAAAACACCATGGCCAAAACAACTTGGGAAGGAAAGGGTTTGTTTCTCTTACACTTCCATCACAGCCCATCACCAAAGAAAGTTAGGGCAGGAACTGAATCGAAGCCATGGAGGAGTGCTGTTTACAAGGTTCCTTCCAATGGCTTACACACCCTGCTTTGTTATAGCACCCAGGACCATCAGCCCTGGGACATCACTACCCACAGTGAGCATCAATTATCAATCAAGAAAATGTGCTACAGATTTGTCCATAGGCCAGTCCCATGGGGGCATTTCCTAACTGAGGTTCCCTCTTCCAAAATGACTCTAGTTTGTGTCAAGTTAACATAACACTAGCCAGCACAGGGGGCCATCAGCCCTTTCCGGAGCCTGCCTAGAGGCTTAGGCCTATGGATATCAGAAAATCAAAGTCCGTGTTCCGCTTGAACATACAGATCACCTGCAACTGCCTTTGGCTCATCGTTCGATTTCTTTCAAAAACAGATTCAAGAGGTATAAAGGATGGGATCCTAAGGATACTCTCTGGTCATTTAATTATCTCCTATCTCGTGTCCTAGAAAGTGAAACTCTCCATTGGCCGGATCCCACATTCAGAGAAGTTCCATGCCTCCTCCTGTGCATGCCCCTTAAAATACCAACAGGGTTTGCCGGGGAAGGCACTGAAGAGGAGTCCGGCCATCAAAAAGACCCAGAAGGAATCAACTGGAGAATAATCTGCCTCGGGCCCATGGCAGCAGAAGAAGGATGGAGCCCTGGATCATCATGATCGGAGACAAGACAGAATCCTACTTTGAGTCACTGTACTGTCCTAACAATGGGGGTCACTAGCCCCTTTGTGGCTGTTGCATTGAGGTCACATGGGGTAATGACTAAGGAACAGAGTTAGAATGGAAGGCCTTATTATCTGAGACTTGGCACCAAACACGGCAGGCATCGACTGAGTAAATCTATGGTCTAATTAGTAGTACTGTGTGCTTTCTGAGGTCACAATTGCTTTTTTGTTAGGAATTAGAATTATTCATTCCAGGGAGGCAAGAGATGAAAGTCTGTAGCTGTCCTCCCAGACACTTCCTGTGACTCAGCAGCCCAGGGGCCGTCAGGCCAGGCAGAGTTACTGGCGTTCTTACCAGGCTCAGTAGACCTGCTTTCTTAAAAGACATGGTAACTATTTTGGAAGCTAAGGAAGTTTGGTGCTGTATCCAGCCAAGAGCTGCTTGCTCCAAATGTAAACAGGAAACTATGTTTATATGTTCTTAATTGATTGGTTTATTACCAAATTAGTCCTGTGAAGTCAAGGAACCAAAGGCCTTTTAATCAGGAAAGCAGGAGCCGGCAGCTGAAATCTAATCAGCTTGGGGAATGTCGGTACAGGGGGGCGGGCGGTCAGAGGACACATCTCAGTAGACTGTCCTTTCACGTGGAAAATGGAAGGCTTTGAAAGCTCAGTGATATTCAGTCTTCATGACTCGGAGCTCAGTAGCTGTAAGGGCAGAACCAAGAATCTAACCCAGCTTTAGAAAGAAGATCCCCTTGACTTCTGCCTTGTATGTGGGTTTAGATTAGTAAAGACCTTTGGCACACAGGAGAGACATTCAATGTATTTCATTTTCTGTTATCTAGATTGTTTCCAGTATAACATGTATATATGTGTATAAAACATATGAAATAAATAAATGTCTATACATGAATATTTCAAATCTTATAACTAAAATAAAAGAAGAAGCCATTTCAGTGAGGAAATAAAGAACCGTTAAGGTAAAACTGCCTGAAGCCATCTGCGGGATGGATTCCTGGGCTCTGAAATCCAGCTGTCCTCTGAGGACCCAGGGGTTGATCATCCACCCAGCTCACAGAAATGATGGGTCGGACAAGCAGACAGGACTGCAGGTCCTTCCCAGTACACTGTCCACCCGCCACCCTACTCCAACCCCAGAACTTACCTGCTGACACAGAATGGGGGGTGAGGACCACACTCTGGGTGTTTCTCAGCATCTGAATGGCACTTTCAAGGGCTTGGACTGAGGAACCCAGTCTCTGTTGTATCATCCTAGGGGGTCAGTGGAGAGCCCCCCCCCCCCAGTCTGCAGGACAGCACAGAGCATGCGTTCATCCTAGGGGGTCAGCGGAGAGTCCCCCCAGTCTGCAGGACAGCACAGAGCATGCGTTCATCCTAGGGGGTCAGTGGAGAGCCCCCCCAGTCTGCAGGACAGCACAGAGCATGCGTTCATCCTAGGGGGTCAATGGAGAGGTCCCCCAGTCTGCAGGATAGCACAGAGCATGCGTTCATCCTAGGGGGTCAGTGGAGAGCCCCCCCCCAGTCTGCAGGACAGCACAGAGCATGCGTTCATCCTAGGGGGTCAGCGGAGAGTCCCTCCAGTCTGCAGGACAGCACAGAGCATCCCCTCTTTCAGGAAAGGATCTAGTTCTCAGTAGTGCTGAGAAAACAGACAGCCACCCACCTGCCTCTAACAGGAGCCTGAGGAGAGCATCTGGCTCCTCTCTGGCTTCCTCTTCTGTGAAGAGCAACTGAACCACGGCCTGGAGGAAGCAGCCTCCTGACTGAGCCCAGGTATGTGCTGCCGGTGGCTGGAATGGACAGGGGAACCCATTCTATGCCATTCTCTGTGCTGCTCCTCAGAGCCCAGGGCCTCACATTCTCTGTGCCTCCCCTTCCCCAGAGCTGGAAACAACCACGTGCTCCTAGCGCTCAAGGTCACTTCTTTATCCTAAGAACAACAGTGACCACAAGGAGAACTCTAGACCTAGGAGGAGAGATATCTGTCCTTTTCTGTCACCCAGGTGAGAATACAGCCAAGAATCAGTTAGAAGAAGGCCGGAAAAGCCATCTGGCCAGGCCTGACAAAGACGGTACCTTGTGGTCCTCAAGTTGGCCAAAGAGAAGAGCACACTCCCTGCTACCAACAGATGCGAGCCCAGGAAGCCCCAGGGAAAAACCCATCTGTGATCTCCTTCATTGATGTCCATACTGACCACATTTCAAGTAAATGGCTGTGGCCTATGCTGCAAAGAAACTGGTCCGGCTGTTCTTAGGGAAGATAGCCCCTCCTGGATCTGCTTAGACAGTGCAGGAGAAAACAAGGATGGCTTCAAGCTGTTCTTGGCTGTCTCTTCTTTGTCCATGTCCCATCAACTTGACATAGCTTAGAGTCGCATGAGAGGAGAGTCTCAATTGAGGGATTAGATTGGTCCAATGTGGGCATGTCTTTAGGGGGACCGTCTTATTTTTTTCATTGATGTGGGAGGGCCCAGCCCACTGTGGGCAGCACTAGGGAACTGTCTTACTTGTTCACTGATGTGGGAGGGCCCAGCCCACTGTAGGCAGCACCATTCTCTAGGCAGTTGGTCCTGAGCTGTGTAAGAAAGCAGGAGGTTGTGAGCAAGCCAGCAAATAGTAGTTCCTCCATGGTTTCTGCCTTATGTTTCTGCCCAGGCTTTCTCCAATGATGAACTGTAACCTCCGTGCTAAAATAAATCCTCTCCCCCCCTAAGTTGCTTCCGGTTGAAGTGTTTGATCACAGAGGCCCAAAGGGAAGTAGAGCTGGCCTCAGTCTGATGTGGCGGAGGAAGAAGTCAGAGCTCAGAAACGGGAAATGATTTACTGAGGGTACCCCAGCTCCATGCTGAGCCCAAAGTTCCTCAACCCATACCTTCTCTGCATCATGGCATTTCATTGGGACTTTGTCTCTCAGCTTCCTACTGGGTGCCTTGGGTCTCCAGAACAGACCGCAGAGGTACCCAGAGGTTTTCATTTGGTTCTCTCTGCTGAGATGAAAAATATTCAGAAGGAATTCCAAATAACAGCTGGTTAGGGAGGAGAATGAGTGCGCAGGGCCACGGCCACGACGTCACACTCCAGCTGTTGACATGCCTGCATTCCGGGAAGGTTTCTTTTCTGTGAGGAGAGCAGAGGACCACGTTTATGTGTTTGTGTGTGGTATATGTGCACACGTGTGTGCCAGGGAGTGAAGACAGGTGGCCCTGTCACTAGTCTGCTCCTTCTCTTCAGGGCGTGTGCCAAGTGACTTTCCCTTGGGATGCTGAGAAGAATAGAACATGATAAACGGACCTCAAGGCTTTCGGACTCAGCTGGATCACATCAGGGTTTCTTCCTGAAGTTGGACTGGTGGCACATGGACTAAGTAACATGTGTTTTCTTGGAAAAGCTCTCCAAAATGTCGAGTTAATGAAATCTTTGCCGAATGACCGATAGTCCCACGGGATCTTGGGGCCCTTCTCCAAATCACTCTGACTAAATGGTTCTGGAAAACTTGGCACTCACAGTGCTAGACCCTGGGACTGACTGACCTACCTGATATGGTAGCCACCAGCCAAATGTGCTGTTTGGCCTAAAATTAGTTAAAATTAAATACACCTAAAAGTCCTTATCAAAGCACTAGCCACATTTGGGGTATTGATAACCTTTGATGGTAATTAACTACAATATTGGATAACACAGAAACAAACTTTTTCCACCATCATAGAAGGTTCTAGCAGATACTTTTCCCTATCTTATGTCCCAGGAGAAGAACAGTTACATCTTATTCACTTCCATATTCCCAGCCCATAAATATAGTGAGCGGCTTACAGCAAATGCTTGATAAACACATGCTAATGGAAGAAAACACTACAATTCGTGGTAAGTATTAATTCATAAACATTATTCAATTTTGATATTTTAAAAAAAATATTAACATCCCAAACCCTGGTAACATTGGCTATTCTTTTTTCTTTTCTTTCTGTCTCTCTCTCTTCTTTTTTGCCTGGTGTCATAGAATTAACTTGAAAGACCAGCTATAGGACTTTTCCATATAAGTTGTTTCCTCAACAGTTAGTAAGTTTATGTGGAGTTGGCAGCACACTTGGGAGCTGTTATACAAACAGGAAATCATGGTGTCTACAACTCTCCAGCAAACTGCTGACCACAGTGAAGAGAAAGATGAGTCTACCATGATCTCGGTGCTAAGGTCATTTTCTTTTGAGGAGCACCAATGTATAAGTCTAGGTTTGGAGTTATGTTAATTATAGTTGCTCCAAAATTTTGAGCATTTTCTGACATTCTTAGCTCCTCTTTGTTTAAGTGTGGACTTATAAAACAGATATAAGGGCTTGTTGCAACTGTACACATGCTAAGAATCAGCAGTGTATGGTGTCGGAGGTTTTTACATGGACATCAGTGTTTAATCCAGGGCATTATGGGATGTTGATTTGGGACTTGAGGGCAGGGTGATGGTAAAGGGTTGTCATGTATTTGTCTCTTGGCCTCTTTTAAATGATAGATGAGCGTTACAAGGAGAGGGCCCCCCTGTTTGTCCCAGCTGCCTGGCTAGCTTACACCCGGAATAACCACACAAAAACTGTATTAATTAAATTACTGCTTGGCCCATTAGCTCTAGTTTCTTATTGGCTAATTATTACATCTTAATTTAACCCATTTTTATTAATCTATATATTGCCACGTGGCAGTGGCTTACTGGAGATTTAACTAGCATCCATCTCAGGAGGCAGATCCATGGACTTCCTCTTCTACCCTTCTTCCTCCCAGCATTCAGTTCTGTTTTCTCCACCTACTTAAGTTCCGCCCTATCAACTAGACCAAGGCAGTTTCTTTATTCATTACCCAATGAAAGCAACACATGAACAGAAGTGTCACGGCCACCTCAATCCGCAAGGATGACGCGACACCGGAGCTCTTCCTGCTAGCAGTTTATTCAAGACATTTTTTAATAATTGTATCTCTCTCTCTCTCTCTCTCTCTCTCTCTCTCTCTCTCTCTCTCTCTCTCTCTCCCTTCCTCCCTCTCTCCGGGCAAACCTCTCCCAGCCCTTAAAAAGGCACGGGCCGCCAACCCTGGATTGCCAGTGGGCACTGCCCATAGGTCCACGCATTTGCAAGCAGCTGACAATCATTTCGTGATAATTGCATGAGTCAGAGAGCACTCGCTTTCAGGATCGCGGAGGGCGGGAGCCAGTACCATCAGGTGCGGCTCCACGCAGCTCTCTACATTGCCATCAGGTGTGGCTCTCTACACAGAAGAACCTCCTACACCAGACGAGAGTGCCAGAAATATGACTGGGAATAAAGCTATTCTTTAAAAACCAGAGGCCTACAAATTACCACACTGTGTGGTGACAGAGACGTTCAGAAAGGAAGGAGGCCACCGTAAACAGAGCACTAATCATGACTCACACTGCTGCGTGCCTTCTGTATGCAGGGCACTCTCCACACACTCTCCCCAATCCTACAATGGTTCTATGACGTCAAGACTGACTGCCTCAGAAGCACAGAGAAGGGAAGTAACTTACCCGCTCCAGGTATGGCTGGCGAGAGTGTGGCAGAGCTGGGATTCAAACCAGACACCCTGGATCTGGAGACCAGAGCCTGACTGTCCTCACCGGGAGAGCCATGGAAGACAGGAAACATCGCTGAAGCAGATGGTACACAAAGGAGAGGGGCAGAGCCAGAACAAACCTGCAGTGCACTTTCCAAGGCTTGCCTAGAGTGGCTCAACGTTTGGATGGGCCTCTTGTCTTGGTAACATAATCGTTTTCCCTCATTTTATCCAGGAGAAAGTAAAAAACCTACAGTTTTTACCCCTAGTTTTTACTCTAACAACTAGAATTTGACCAACGCTCCTCTTACGACAGGTTTATATGTTTTATAGTCGTTC